ACTAATCAATGTTGGTCAGTAAACAGTCTTTCATTAAAAGACTAGCTATCAGGGACAGGGATATAGCTCAGTAGTATAGAGCCTGCCTGGCAAACACAAAGTCCCGAGTTTGATTCCTGATAATGTGCCTCCCCCGCCCTCCCAAGACTAGCTATCACGACATCACATTTGATTCTACCAAAGCCTTTGACTAACAGGTGCCAAAAAAGCCATTCAACCAAGTTTATACCATAGAAGAGGCAAAATAAGGTTTTGGTATTCTCTTACCCTTCTCTAAACCCTTGGCCTCCAAACAGGGAAGGAGATTCTGTGCATTTCAAAATAGCCAAGAGTGATTACAGTAACAATTTAATACTTTTTTTTGGCTATAGATTTAATGAACATGTCAGCCATTCACTGAGGCCACAGCAATCCTTTTGCAGAGACGGCTATCTTTCCAGAGGAAAGATCCTATGGAGAGATCTCCAGGAATACTGGCCCTGGTTCACAACTATTTTATCTAGATCACATCTTCAGTAACTCAAGACTTAGGAAGCACCAGGAGACAAGTTTGAGGACAAAAGTAGAGTAAAGTCTGAGATAGCCAGCAGGAACCATAGGTCAGGGAACTGAGTCTAAAGAAGCCTAGTGCTGTTCACTCTCTACAAAGGGCTGGGGGCTCACTGCTAGGACAGCTGATGCACAGATTTAGCAATCCTGTCTCAGCCTCCCTCCCAGAGTACTGGGATTATGGGCGTGTGCCCCAGTGCCTGGCTAACATGTTAGTCTTGGTCCTCTTTCAGTCAGATCCATGTCACCATGGAATGTTGTCCCTCTTCTCTTCAACAACCAAAATGGGGTGGCAGATGGCAGATTCTAAAGATTAAAATGTGCTGTGCCAGTGGATGTGAGAGTGACAGGAGATATCCACTCACATAACCTAGTGGAATCTCTCATTTATTTTTAATGTATTTGGTACAGGTCTCACTACACAGCTTGGACTTGTAGTGATCCTCCTGTTTCAGCCTCCCCAGCGCTGGGATTACAGGTGTACACCACCACCCCCGGTCTTGGTGGCTGGCTCAGCATGCCTGGGGAGGGGCCAGCACGGGATGTGGTGCCAGGGATCAAACTCAGGACCTTGCGCTTGCCAGGCAGGCACTTAGACTGCTGAGTTATCTCCATAGTGCTCACTCTTGAGATTAAGGGAAAAGATGGAATTCAAAATGGAACCCAAAGCACAGAGAAAGCAAATCTGGCAATAGCAGAACACCCAGGAAGCACTGGCATTGCCAATACGGAAATAACCTGATTCCCACAACTTTACACTTGCTGAGTGTGATGGCGGCATGTCTGTAATCCCAGCATTTGGGAGCCTGTGGCAGGAGGGTCACTGTTGAGACTGTTGAGTTTGAGGCCAGCTTAAGTTTATATAATGAGTTCAATGCCTATCTGAATTATATAGTTAGACTCTGGTCTAAAAAAACAAAACTAAACTAAAAAACTCCAGTACACTTCATCTCACGTAGACATCAAAATGATATTCAGTCCCTTCCTGAACCTATATCCCAGAGGAACAAATTGCAGAGTACGAGTGCTATGCTCCTTAGTTGCTAACAAGGATGCTCAGGTACTGGCTACAGGTAAGTTCAGGTCTACCCTAAATGTTGTACACAAAGGGGGTGGAAATAATTAAAAGCCACATCCCAACAATGACTAGTATGTAGAGTATATAAAGAATTCACAGAATAGCTTTAAAAAACAAACAACCCAATTAGAAAGTGGGCAAATACACGAACAGATGATTCATCAAAGAGGATATAGACAGTGGTAAGCACACAAAAAGATGATGAACACAGTGTTTTTTTTGTTTTTTTTTTTTCGGAACCGGGGATTGAACTCAGATCCTTGTATTTGCCAGTCAAGCGCTTATCCTACTGAGCCATCTCCCCGGCCCCAAACACAGTGTTAAGGGAACACAAAACTATAATGATAACAATGCACTCATATCAGAGTGACAGAAAAATACAGTGATAGCTCTGGCGAGAGTGCAGAGAAGCTCATTCACTTTTTAGTGGTGAAGGTGTAAAATGCTATAGCCAGCCTGGAAAACAAGGTGGTAGTTTCTTTTCTTTTTTTGGAGGAACCAGGGATTGAACTCAGGCCCTTGTGCTTGCCAGGGAAGCACTTATTCCACTGAGCCATCTTCCTGGCCCCATAAATTTAATCCTATTAATCCTTTTTTTTTTTTTGGCAGACCTGGGAATTGAACTCAGATCCTTGTGCTTCCCAGGCAAGCGCTTATTCTACTGAGCCATCCCCCCACCCCCTAAAGTGGTAGTTTCTTAAAGATCTGTACATGGAAATACCATACCACCCAGCAATTGCTCCCTTGGGCATTTATCTCCAAAACCACCTATGCACATAAAAAAAACCTAACACAAATGCTTGTAACAGATTTTTCTCCTTTTCTTTCTGTACCAACTCCAATTTCTTTTTTTTTTTTTTTTGAGGGGGGGCAGTACTGGGATTGAAACAAGGGGCACACCACCCTGACTCACCCCTACTTTTGAGACAAGTTGTTTTTTTGTATTTTATTTTTAGTAAGGGTCTACAAGGTCTACAGAGTCTCACTACATAGATCAGACTCATAGTGATCCGCCTGTGTTCAGCCTCCCAAAGAGCTGGGATTACAGGTGCATGCCATCACGCTCAGTCTCAATCACCTCTCAGCTCGCCCCAGGGGTGAGGCTAGCACGTCAGGCCAGGGATCAAACCCCGGCTGCTGCGTCTGCCTAAGCAGGTGCTTTAATCTGCTGAGCTATTTGACAAGCCCTTGAGACAAGGTCTTGCCAAGTTGCACAGTATCATTTTGTGATCCTCCTGCTGCAGCCTCCCAAGTAGCTGGAAGTACATATGTGCACTACAACACCTGGCCACCTAACAGTTAATGTGCAAAAGTCAAAAATCAGAATCAGCCCATAGATCCTTCCCACAGGAAAGTAGTTATACTGAAGTGTTTCAAACCATTTATTAGGAAAATGAAGGAGGACAACTTGAATAAATTCCCATCAGAATGTTATATCCTTCTGCTATGGTCTGGATTTGATCTGTGTTTCCTATAGGTATGTGGGCTGGAGGCTTGGTCCACTGCGGTGATACTTACTGGGATGTGGTGGAATCTTTAAGAGGAGGGCCCTAGCAGGAGGTCCTTGGGTCACTGAGGGTCTGTCCTCCTTCACAAGTGATTAACACAGGCCTCTGAAATGCAAGCCTCACCCTGAGCAATCTTTGATTTTCAGATGTTACTACATGCTCCTAAGGATGTGACAAACTTGGAAGAAGGGTGTGCTTCATCAGAACTAAGCATAGGCAGCAGGCAACATGCTTTTTTTTTTTTAATTTTTTTTTTAAATTTTATTTATTTGTGTGTGTGTATGTGTGTGTGTGTGTGTGTGGCCAGCTCAGCCCACCAGGGGGCGGCACTGGCTGGCATGTGGGGCTGGGGGATTGAACCGTGGTCCTTGTGCTTTGCTAAGCTTGTTCTAAGTAGGTGCTTTAGACCACTGAGCCATCTCACCAACCCCGCAACATGCTCTTGAACTTCCAAATGGTGGACTAAATAAACTTAGCTTGCTTCAGGTATTTTGGGTCCAGGTCTCACTTTTTTTTTTTTTTTTTGGTACTGGCAATTGAACTCACAACCTTGCACTTGAGAGGCAGGCTCTATGCCACTAAGCTATATCCCTGGCCTGCCTCAGGTACTTCGTTCCAGTGAAAAAAAATCTGACAAACAATTTCCAAGTTTGAGAAATAAATGGAGGACAGATTGGAGGTTGCTAGAGATGCAAGGTAGGTGTGGGTATAGTGGCAGGGAGGCAGGTGTGGTTATAAAGGGTGATCTTAAGGGTCTTCATAGAACTGATTGTGGCAGCTACCTCCTCAGGTATAAAACTGTATAGAGAATTTGCAGAGACACAAGTAAAACTAGTGACATGAACAGGAGAGATGTATGTGAGTATTCTGGTTGTGGTACTACATTAAGGCTATACAATACTTTTACCACTGGGGAAACTGGACAAAGCATCTGCTTACTTACTCTGTCTGTCTGTCTTTCTTTCTTGGTATCAGAGACCAAACTCAGGACCTTGCATTTGCCAGGGTGGTGCTCTATGCGAATAAGCTATTTCTTTGGCCCTTTTTTCCTTTTTTTTTTTTTTTGCTGCATTATGTCTTACACCTAAAAGTGAATCTAAATTTTAAAAATTATGTACATGGAAAGAACCCAAAGCTTTCCACTGTCATTGCACTGGATCTATGCCTCTACTGTCATTTCTTTATCACCTCTAATCCTCACAGCAATCTCATAGGCAAGCATGCTTTGCAAAAATAAAAGGAAACCGAGGCCCAGAAATGAAGCAATCTATCTAAAGCCACATGCTAAATGACTGAGCAAGAAGCCAAAGCCTATGACTGTTCTGCTACTCTACTCTACCTCTCTGACATATAACTACTCAAAAGTTGTAAAATGGGGCCGGGGAGATGGCTCAGTGGAATAAGTGCTTCCCTGGCAAGTGCAAGGGCCTGAGTTCAATCCCTGGTTCCGCAAAAAAAAAAAAAAAAAGTTGTAAAACGGTAACTCAAGAAAATAAGCTATTTTGACAGGAACCGTAACATTTCCCACTTTATGGAAGCTCTTTACAGTAGTAACCTAAATGGCTTAAATGGCATTTAAAGGAAGGAAAGATTACGGAATACATTTGATTAGATACCTTTCATTTAAAAAGCCCATAAAACAAAACTGTAAGTGTACATTTGTATGTATGCAATTGCATAGAAAAAGATCTTGAAGAACATCCACAGTCACTACCATCACCTCTTGCAGAGACCACAGTGGAAGAAAAGGGCTGGGTTAGGTGCCATCTGGACTTCGGGCTCTACATGTCTGAACCTAAGACTACATTCCAATTTAAGTACAACTAGTCTATGGTTTTTAAGAGGAAAAATAAAGCAACACTTACTGCATTCATAGATCTGTTCCAGCTTATCCACAGAAGAAAGGGAGAAAAATTTATAACCGGACTTACTACCAACAGCTAGGGACCTGCAAAAAAGCCAAATTCAGAAATAAGAGCTGATACATGTAGACAGTGACAATGCAAAGCAGCTCCCACATTACCAATTAGCAACCACCATTTCTACCAGAAATTAACAGTCCAAGTAATTTCATAAAGTTTGTAGAGGTGTGTGGCAGACCAAGATGTTACACACCCAATAAGGGCAATATTATTTGAAAACTGTAAAACTTTTTCTGGAGTTCTAACATATCACATAGTGACTATAGTAAGTAGGCACTGCATATTTGAAAGTATACTGTGATAATCACAATATATGAGATAAGATAAAAATATACAGTATTTAATTCTTCTTTTATGTATTCAGTATGGGGTCTGCAGTGTCTCATCACAAAGACTGGACTCATAGTAATCCTCCTATTCTCAGCCTCCAAGTGCTGGGATTACAGGTGTGTATCACCACTCCCAATCTTATATAGTAAATACTTAAATAAAACATTTATTGCAGAAAAACACATTACTGGGCCGTAAGATAGCTGAGCAGACTAAGTGCCTGCTTAGGCAAGTATTGGGACTGAATTTGATCCCTGGTACCACATGCTGTGCTGGCCCCATCCCTGGGTGCACTGAGCCAGCCACCAAGTCTGGGCGTAGGCTATGCGTCCAAGATGCGTAGTGAGACCCTCTACCAAATACATTTAAAAAAAAAAAAAAAAGAGCAAAGGCCCTCAGGACAATTCCCCAGCTTTCTAGCAGAAGGGACTGGTGACACTGAATGAAAGGTTTCCTCAGCTGGGGATTATCTCTCTACAGAACCTGACTGACCAGGGAAAGCAAAAAGGAGAAGAAAAGCACACCCTTCAAGTGCAGAAAAGATGTGCAAATAGCAGGAAGCAGTGGGACAAAGGCAGAGTCAGATACTAGGATGATTTGATTGCAGTATCTGGGAGAATGTGAAATTAGATGCATAAAGCAGAAGGCCAGAAGACAGACATTTCATACTCGTACCCCAACATAAATTCAGGGCTAGTTTAATAATCATGTTATCCATTAAGAACTTCAGACTTTCAGCTTCTCCTATATACCTGTAGAAGAAATCAGCTCCCACAAAGGAGTTGCCATAAGCACTACTAAAGCTTTAAATTCTATCGGTTCATCTTAGTACAAATGAGCAGAAGCTGGGTGTGGTTGTGCATGCCTATAATCCCAAGTGCTGGGGAGGATAAGGCAGGAGGATCTCAGTGAGTTCAAGGTCAGCCTAAACTGCATAGTGAGACTCTATCTCAAAAAAAAAAAAAAAAAAAAGAAAAAGAAAAAGAAAAAAACCAACAATAAAATGTCTTCCTACAGCTAATATGTTCTTTGCAAAAATACTAGCTGTGCAAGATGATATACATCTGTAATCCCAGCACTTGGCAGCAGAGGTACGACTACAAGTTTAAGACTCTGTTTCAAAATCAAGAAGAAGGCCAGTGAAATAGCTCAGTGGACTAAGCGCCTGCTTAGGCAAGCACAGGGACCAGGGTTCGATCTCCACATGCCACACCGGCCCCATTCCAAAGGCCTGGTGTGGTGATGCACCCTGTAATCCCAGGGCAGGGTAGGCTGAAAACAGGAGGATCACTCTGAGTCCAGAGCTGTGTAGTGAGACCCTGTACCAAACACATAAATTTTAAAAAATCAAATCAAATCAATAAGGACTGAGTGTTCAATCCCTAGTATCCCAACAACTTTACCATGTGGAATCATTTCAACTAAACAATCAAGTACTAAAACCTGGGAACATTTAGCTGCACTACAAATCCATAGCCCCAGCACACTGGAGGCTGAGGCAGGAGGATCACCCTGAGTTCAAAGCCAGCCTGAACTACACAGTAATTCCTTGTCTCAAAAACCAGCAATCTAGAACTTTTGGGAAACTGGTGCTCAAGAAAATATTTTCCAGATAACTAAAGTCTGCTATTTTTAGGACACAAACCATTCCCTCTTACTATTTGATTTTTTTTTTTTTTCACCAGGGATTGAACTTGGGACCTTGAGCTTACCAGGCAACTCTTTTGGACTATTTCTGATTTTTTTTTATTTTTTTATTTTTTTGAGACAGGGTCTCACTATGTAGTTCAGGCTAACCTTAAACTCCAGGCAGTCCTCCTGCCTCAGTCTATCTAGTGCTGGGATTACAGGTTTATGCCACCATATCTGATTTCAGTTGACTTTTAAGAAATCATTCTTGTATACCTTCTTGTGTTCTTAAAAACAAGGCAAATTTTTCTGAGCTGAGTTTTGTATAGCCCACATCAAATGGCCAGGCTATAGTATTTTAATAAAAGTATCTCCAGGGGTGGGAGAAGGGACTCAAGGGAGTGCTTAAGGCCCTGGGTTAAAGCTGCAACACCTGAAACAAAACAAAACAACACCGAAAACAATCCTTTCCTCCCTTTTAGTTTTGCTGAAAGTTATCATTTTTCCTGTGACCATTCTACCAACAGCCTCTCCCCTAATTTTACTTGGGAAACAAATCACCCCATTTATTAGCATTACCTATAAAACAAGCATAGAGTGGGCCTGTCTCAGGCAAGATTAATGAACCTTAGAACCAGATCCTTGATTATAAGACATCTTGGTTCTCAGCTCTTCCCCTTAGACCAAAGCTGTTAAAACTAGACTTTGGCAATCAAATTTGATATTCTTTTGGCGATTCAGAAACTGATTTGAAGGGCTAGCCAAATAGCACAGCAGATTAAAGCCAGGCACAGGGGCTTGGAGTTTGATCCCCGGGCCTGCTATGCCGGTGCTGCCCCCCACCAGGCCCTGCCAGACCCTGCCCTACCCCCACCCACCGGGCACAGAGACTGGGTCGTGGTGGTGCATGCCTGTAATCCCAGCAAGTGGGAGGCTGTAAACAGGAGGATCACTATGAGTCCGATCTACTCAGTGAGGCACTGTAGACCCTGTCCTAAGCGCGTGCACACACACACACACACACACACACACACACACACAAAGAAAAGGAACTAATTTGTAATATTAAATACCTCAGCTAGAATTATTAGCAATTCCAGGTCTACAAAACTACATTCTGCTCTGAATCAATAAAAAGTTGAAGCAAAAACATGCCAAGCATTTACTGAGATGTGAATACAGTATAGCAAGAGAATATACTGTATTAGTAAAGGTGGTTAGTTAAAATGAAACTAATAGGCTGGCGCTATGGCTCAGTGGGAGAGCGCATCCTGGGTGGCTCAGTCCGTAGCATGTAAGCTATAAGTATGTGTTGAGATTTTCCACTCCAAAGCCAACAATCAGGTTCCCACATGTTTCGTTGTAGATTTTGCTTTTAATAATTTCTCATGTTCGGATAGTGGCCCATGCCTATAATCTCAGCACTCTGGGAGGTTGAGGCAAAAAGTACAAGTTGGAGCCAGCCTGGGGAACATGGTGATTTAGCAAGATCCTGTCTCAAAATAAAAATAGTAAAAGGGGTTGGGGATATAGCACAATGCAAAAGTTCCGGGTTCAACTGCCAGCACCACCAAAATAAATAACATAGCAGACATAAAAATGAGGGAGGGAGAGCAACAGATAGGAGATTTGCACTTATAAATAATCTTAAGTGGGATTTTTTGTTGACAAAGGGAAAAACTAGCAATGATCATTAAAAAAAAAAAAAAAAAGCTGTATTATCACTTTGGGCTAGCCATGGTGGTGCACGCCTATAATCTCAGCACTCCGGAAGCTGAGGCAGGAGGAGCATCACAAGTTTGAGGCCAGCCTTGGCCACCTAGTGAGCTCGGGGCCAACCTGAACTACAAAGCAACACACCGTCTAAAAAAACAAAACTTTGACATTTTATAGATTCCTATTTTATGAGGATTTTAGAAGGGAGCCAAAATAAACGCTTGCCTTTGATCCAATTATCTTGCTTTGGTTTTGTGCCAAGATATTATCATATAGTTTTGTTTGGCCTTGAGCTTGCTATGTAGCTCAGCTCACAATGCTCCTGGGCCTTCTTAAAGTAAAAATCTCTGTCACTAAATTCAAACTTCAGGGGATGGGGAGATGGCTTAGGAGAATAAGCGCTTCCCTGGCAAGCACAAGGGTCTGAGTTCAATCCCTGGTTTCGGAAAAAAAAAATTCAAACTTTAGCATTCCATATCTAAAAGGAATTTCATCTAAAAAATGACAATATGCCAGGTATCATGGCACCTGCCTATAATACTAGCACTCTGGAGGACGAGGCAGGCAGAGGCTGCAAGTTTGAGGCCAGCATGGGGTACACCTTGTCTCAAATTAAAAAGGGGAAGGGGGCAGGCTGGGGATGTAGCTCAGTGTGATGGCCCTGTGTTCAATGCCCAGTAACGTACACACACATATATGAACAAGATCTATGTAACTTCGTCTTTTCTCTATCCTGTTCCTAACCATCAATCCTTAAAGCCCACACCTCTCATTACTTTTTTCATAGTTATGAGCTTAACAGGGGACAGAGCAACACTGTAAAGAGGAAGCAGCCTGCCTTGCTGTTGCCAAAAACCTGGTAGGTTCTGGCAGCCTCACTTAGGACCACAGCCACCATGAGTTTTTGGTGGGATAGTATATCCCTCCAACTCACATGTCTCCATATCAGACCTGTACCTGGACGACCCAAAGGCCTTTCAGACTCATGAGTACCCAAGGCAAAGCTTTTTAAAAATTGATTCATTTATTTATTATTTTGAGACAGAGCCTTGCAATATATACAGTCCAGGCTGCCTGGAACTGTGGGGATCTTTCTGCCTCAGCCTCCCAAGTACTGGACTTATAGGCATGTGTCACTAATTTTTCTCTTGTGATGCTATCACTGTTCACAGAACCCATACCAGAAATCAGAAAGCAGACAGCTTCTCTCGTGCATGCATTAAGTATATCCATGGGTCACTATCCTTGCCACTGGCCACTGCTCTTGGGCAGTGTCCTCAACCATATCATCCTCTGCACAATAGACAGAATGGCTTCTAACTTTAAAGCTGAAGGAGCCTCAAAAACCTTGAATTTGTAGATGAGGACAGAGAAAAACAGCGATTGTCACTTGGAAACAAGAAACACAATGGATAAAAGTAATCAATACCTCCAGACACTTCATAACATCAATTCTTCAAACACAAAGCTTAAGAAGGCATACTCTTTTCTTTAAGCTATCCCTTTCATAAATGTCATTTGAAACAGACATGGCCACTAATTTCCCATAGGCTATGGTAGCCACAGAAAAAATTTAGTCCATATTTCCCTTGAACAGTCAAGAGACCACCTGCCGCTTATTCACTGGTAACTTCACTTCAAAAATCCAAAATGCTCCAATGCAAGCCTTCTACAGTGTTACTTCCAGAAACCAGGGTGGGAACTAACCAGTCAAAATGGAGATGTCTGCGAACCGCTGCTCCTGCTCTGTTTTTCACTTCTCTAGTTGAAAAAACAAAAACAAAATAAATGGTAAAAAGCAAATAAAACTTAATCATACTTTTAGGATAAGAATCATGAAGAAAAGCTTGAGATCATATTACAAGAAAGGTAAGACAAATACAGCTTGGTGCGAAGGAATATTGTGTTGTCAAGCATTTAAATGATGAAAACAAGTAAAACTACGGTATAACTTATATAAATCTGACTGGGTAAAACGGCATGCAAATATCCCTAAGTAAATTACATGTGGATTGTAGACCAACATCTTTGGCCTTGTCAAAGATCACCTTCCTTTATAGGACTAAGATAAATTTTAGAGTGGGGAAAGAACTAGGGAAAGGCATGAACCACAGGAACATATATATTTCTTTCAGGTGTTGCTTTAAAACAAATTACAGGCAGAAGCACTACAAATTTGAGGCCAGCTTGGACTACAAAGTGAGTTTAAAGCCAGCCTGAACTACACAGCAAGTATTTGTTTCAAAAAATGTGAGAGAGAGAGAAAGACCAAACGACCTCTCAAAACTGCTATAATCTTTTCCTGTCCTAGATATATTTTAACTACTAAATATAAAGGGGGGGTTCTTCATGGTTAAACTTCTTAGTTCTTCAAAGAGGACAATATGAGCTATTTGTCAAATTTTATGCAGTTTTGAAACATTGACACAGCACTCAAAAAAATAATCATCCAGGCATTGTGGCACATTTCTATAATACCAATACTCTGGGAGTCTGAAGCAGGAAGACTGAAAGTTCTACCCCAGGCTTATCGATTTCCTTAGTTAGATCCTGTATGAAAATACAAAATATGGGGGGGCTGGTGAGATGGCTCAGTGGTCTAAAGCACCTACTTAGAACAAGCTTAGCAAAGCACAGGGACCATGGTTCAATCCCTCAGCACCACATACCAGCCAGCTGCACCCCCCTGGTGGGCTGAGCTGGCCACACACGTGCGCGCGCACGCACACACACACACACACACACACACAATAAAATTTAAAAAAAAAAATATGGGGGCTGAGATTTAGCTCAGCGGTGCAGCACCTGCCTGGCAAGTGTAAAGCCCTGAGTTCAATTCCTGGTACTTCTAAGAAAATACTGGCTGTAGTTTAGTGCAAAGGCCCTGGATTCAATCTCAGTACCACCACCAAAACAAAAACAAAAACATCCCCTCAAAAACCCAGAATCAAAAAAAAAAAAAAAACCCAGAATCATCTTATTCTAATAAAATCTGAATAAAACTTATTATTCCTCTTAATTTGTTTATTCTCCAAATTTCTCTTTAGCAAGTCAAAATTATGATGTAGAGGCAGGAGTGGTGGTACACACACCTGTAATTCCACCACTTGGGAAGCCAAGGTAGGAGGACTGCTTCAAGTTCAAGGCTAGCTCAGGCTATATAGTGGAGTTAAAGACCAGCCTAAATTACACAGTGAGACTCTGTCTTTAAAAACAACAACAACAAAACAACAAATAAAAAATAAAAACATTCCAGTATATGAGGAACTTGGCAGCCCATTTAAGATAACAAGAGAGATGGGTGTGCTGGCACACACCATTCAGGAGACTGAGGCTGGAGGATCACTGCAGCTTAAGGTCAGCCTGGGCTACAAAGTGAGGCACTTCTTTCTTTTCTTTTTTGTCATTTTGAGACAGGGTCTTGCTATGTAGTTCATGCTGGGCTTGAACTTGGAAGGCCAGGCTGGTAGACCAGGCTGGTCTTGAACTTGCAGTGATCTCCTGCCTCAGCCTGACAAGTGCTGGAATTACAGGTGTGCACCATCATGCCCAGCCCAAAGCAAGTTCTAAGTCCAGCCTGAACTGCATCGTGAAAGCCTGTCTCAAAATGACCAAAAAAACAAACCAAAACAAAACAGAAGGCTTTCTTGTATTTGACTTCCTTCTGAAATAGTAAGTAGTTAAAAGTGGATGCCACTAGACAATGATGTTTTGGAAATTCTATCATTTAGAAAAGGTATAAAAACCCCGTAACACTATCATTTCTTACTGGTCTCAAGTAAGAGCTTTAGCTGGGCATAGTGGTGCACTCCTGTGACACCAGCAGTGGCTTGAGGCAGGAACATCCCTGCCAAATTCAAGGTCAGTCTGGGTGACACAGTGAGCTAAAAGCCAGCCTGAACTACCATGCCTCAAAAAAACCAAAATCAAACCAAAAACCTATAACCAAAATATACAAAGGCTTTCAATCAGAATGATTTGAAATTTCTTCCTCTTGTCTCAGATTACCTAGTAGATCCCAATTACAACAAACTGCAACAGGTCGTCTGGATTGTTTTGTTGTGCTGGCTTTTGGTCACACACATTACAGTAGTTGCCAGCCTTAACCTCTTCAGACTGCTACACCATTATTGCTGAAATGTCAGAATTCTGCTCTGGAGGTACAAAAAACAAAAACAAGAAACCTGCATGGCACTGTGAAAAGAACACTGCAAGGGAACTCAGAACACAAGATTCTGCTCCTGCCCCCATGTTACTGTTAACCAACTGTTAGATCCAGGGATGCTCTAAAATCTTTCTAGGCTTGAATTTCCTCAGGTGTCATTTGGGCCAGGGGGTTGGCTCCTGTTCTCCATAGCTGTGTGAATGTCTCTGCCAGCCTCACAACTTTGCAAGGGTGCTGCACACTTCCAACTTGGTTAAGAAAAAAAAAAAAAAAATTACATTTTCTACTTTGCTCATTCCATTCTGCCATTAACAACCAAGGACTTCAAATGATGCCAAGTGACCCACTCCTCCTCCTCCTCCTCTTACATCACTTCCTCTTACTCACTTCCCAAGATGGCTCTTCTCCCTTCCAGTCCTATAACTCATCCTTTCTCTCTCTCCAGAAATTTTATCTATTAACTTCCCTCATGACCCATCCGAGGCCGCCTTGAAAAGGTAGCTCCCGACCCCTGTCACACACGGAGCTGAATAAGCAGGGCTCCGAATCTACTAGCTGGCATTAGGGTCTCTCTTGCCTAAGGATGACCTGCACCCTGAGGCCGCTCGGGTGGGTCCCGAACACTTCTCTCGGCTCAGTTTCTCCAGGGTCGAGGCCGGCACGTTGCTAAATGTGCTGTCCGGAGCGGACAAAGTCACCTGGCAAAGAGAACAGCGCAAAAGGAAGACGAGCGAGAGAAGGGGCCATGGGATGCGGGGGCACAAGGAGGGCAGAAGGAGAGAAGTGGGGCAAAGGCTGAGCCTGCAGGCGGAGGCGGGAGATGAGACCACCCCCGCTCCAGGGCCGGGACGGCTAGTCAGGCCGCAAAGTTCCACCCCAAGCCGGGCAGCGGCGGGGTCCGAGCCTGACAGCGAGCCTCCCTCGGGTCCTCCCCGCCCCGGGCGCAGCGCCTCTGCTCTGGCTCTGGAAGTCGGGGCCGCGACCCCCTGACTGACTGGGCGCCAGCGGCCGCCCCGGGCTCGCCGAGACCTCTGACCCCTGACCCCTGGCCCGGGCCCGGACCTCGACCCCGGCCTTACGTGTTGTCCTGGTTGAAGTTGGCGAAGAGTAGCTGGCTGGCGCCAGCCTCGCCGCTCTGACTCGCGAGGTTCATGGCTGCGCGCGCGGCGGGTCGGCCCGAGCGGTGGCCAAGCAGGCGCGCGCCCGCACGCGCGGGGGACGGCTCGAGCTGCGCTCAGGGTCTGTGCCGGGTCCCGCTCGCCGCCACTCGCTGCTCCGGGATCAACCGTCGCCTCATCCCGGCCCCACTCTTGTTTATGCTCCGGGGCCGGGGCGACCTGCGCGCCTGCGCGGCCACGCCCCCGCGCCTCAGGCCCTCTCCAAGCGCAGGCGCACGGGCGAGTCCCCGCCCCTCCGTCGCCGGCCTGAGGTGCGGTTCCGGTCGAGCGCGCACGCGTGATAACGCGCTGTGCGGTGCTGCGAGCGCGCGTGCGCGTGAGAAAAGGGGGCGGTGTCCGGCTACTTTCTGCGTGCCCTCTCGGCGTAAGACCGCTTTGGGAGTGCAGATCGTTGTAATAAGTGCAGATGCGCACCATTTCTTTGGAGGAGGTTGGCAGAGAGGGATTGAACCAGGGCCTTCCCACTGAGCTACACCTCCATATCTTTAAAGAAGTTTTTGGAGCCTGGAGTGGTGGTACATGGCTGTAATCCCACGGCTTGGAAGGCGGAAGCAGTAGGATCGCTGTGAGTTTGAGGCCAACCTGGGCTACAAAGTGAGACTGGCTCAAAGCTTACCCTGGGGGTGGAGCTGGCGCGGCATGTAGTGCTGGGGGTCGAACTGCGAACTGCGGTCCCTGCGCTTTGCCTAAACTTGCCTAAGCAGGCGTTTTAGACCGCTGAGCTGTCTTGCCCGCCCTCCCCGCCCCTTTTTTTTTCTTTTTTGAGGCAGGATCTCGACACTGCCCAGATAAGGCTTGAATTTTTGATCCTCCTACCACAGCCTCTCAGACTGCTGAGAGTACAGGTGGACACCTGGCAAAGATTTGAGCCATCTTTTTTTTAAAATTTATTTTAGGGTTTTTTTTTTTTTTTTTTCTTCCCCCTTCCGAACCAGGGATTGAACTCAGGCCCACGCGCTTGCCAGGGAAGCGCTTATTCCACTGAGCCATCTCCCTGGCACCATCATCTTTTTTTTTTTTTAAATTAGTACAGGGTCTCACTACACAGATTAGACTCAGTGATTCTCCTGTTTTCAGCGTCCCAAGCGCTGGGATTACAGACGTGCGCCACACACCCAGTCTCACTCTCATTCCCCTTCCTAGCGCGCCCTGGGGGCAGGGCCGGCACAGCATGCCAGGGATTGAATCCCAGTCCCTGCTTCTTAAACAGGTGCTTCAATCAGTTGAGCTCTCTGGCCGGACCTTCGAACCATCTTGATGCTAATTGCAGCCCCATGTAGAGAGGATTATATGTCCATTTTATGGAATTGCAAACTGAAGTGCAAAACTATAAATCATTTAGCAAGTATCAGACTTTGAGCTGCCGGCTCCTTTATTTCTGCAGACCTCGTGAGTTCTGTCTGGATCACTACCACAAGATTTCTGCCTTAAGTGTATTCATGCATTGACCAGTATCAGAAAGCGCTGTGAACTAAACAAACCTTCCCCCCAGAGAAGTTACTGAAGGGGAGGTACTTAAATTCACTCCCAAAGCCTGGAGCACAAAAGAGCACACATACTGATGTCGCCTAACTTAGACCTGAAGGGCAGGATCTATACAGTCAGCGGGCTTCCTGTGGTGACTTAACCTGAAGTTTAGCAGCAGCAGGCAGCAGCCTACAGGGACAGAAGACCTTGTGTGGCAAGTCTCCAATGGGAGTGTGACCCCCACTCAGCTCTCTCTGGGAAAATGACCGCAAGATGGGATTTGCCTGGAGGACAGCAGGTGGCCAGGGCTGGCTGGGTATTAAGAGGCATTACACGTGACACTAGTTACGGTCCTGTGACCAGTGGAGTGCACAGCAGGCAGTGAAACCAGCAAGAGCAAGATCAAACTGTGCTTAGCGCACAGCGCTTGTTCAGCCTATAAGGCCCTTATTTTTTTTCCCCCACTAAAAACAAAAAACTGAAAATACAAACCTCAAAATGGTATAAATGTATATATTTACTCTTTTTTTGTGGCACTGGGGATTGAACCCATGGACATTTTACCACTGAGCTATATCCCCAGCAATAATAATAATAATTACTACTACTAATAATAATAATAAATCTTTTTGAGACAGGGTTTCACTATGCATTTCAGGCTGGCCTTGAACTCACTTTGTAACTCAGGCTGGCTTTGAACTTGCAGCCATCTTCTTGCCTCGGCCTCCCAAATAAAAAAAAAAAAAGTATTTTGAGACAGGATCTCTGTAAATTGCCCAGACCAGCTTTGCACTTAGAATCTTCCTGCCTCAGCCTCCCAAGTAGAATTAGGTGTGTACCACTACACCAACCCAACACCATGATCTTACAGGGTATAGTTGCTTAGCTAATGACATAACTGAGCCTCCCTGAGGCTGTTCTACTACCCATCTGGGGAATAGGGCACAGGATCACAGTAGCGGATTCCCAAGGCATGAGTGCATAGCCAGAAGTTTCCTCACCTTCATGTAGATCCCTTGGTCACAAGATGTGGTATGACATACCTAGGTGACACTTCAGTATTAAAAACTGCCACCTCCACCCTCCCACAAATTCCTTCCTCATCCCCCTTTTTATGCTTTGTTCTGTTCTCCTTCCCCCCACAGGTCCTTACTGTGTAGTTCAGGCTGGCCTTGAACACATGGCAGTCCTCCTGCCTTGGCATCCCAAGAGGTGGGCTACCATGTCTGACCTCTTTGTTTTATATTTTAATATAGGACTTATTGGGGCTGGGAAGTTAGCTCGGTGACCTAACTGCCTGCCTGGCAAGCACAGGGACTTGGGTTCCCCAGTACTGCATGCTGTGCTGGCCCTAGAACCCCAGGTGTGCTATGCCAGCCCCAGAACCAAATGTGGTGGCACACACCTGTAATCCCAGTGCTGGGGAGGCTGAGACAGGAGGATCATGATGAGTCTGAACTGCATAGCGAGACCCTGTATCAAATAAAAATTAAAATATATAGAACTTATCTGGGGCCAGAAAGATGGCTCAGCAAAATAGTGCTTGCCTGGCAAGCGCAAGGGCCTGAATTCTATCCCTGGTTCTGCCAAAAGAAAAACTACTTATCACTTTCTGATGTTCCCCATGATGTCATCTCTTGACCGGACTGTGAGCTCCAGGAAGGCAGGGCTTCTGTCTCTGTAGGTCACTCTGAGCTCTCGTGGCCCCTCCTCCTGACCTGATGACTGGGGTTGAGAGCATCCACCCACGCCTGTGCTTTGATTCACGACTTTGTCATCTCAGTGATGGGGGACATGGGGCTGGGATGTGGAAGGGCAGCTGGCGTTCAGCCAGGGACCTGGTCACCTGTGACTCAGCAGTGCATCCTCGTTGTAGCTCACCTGAGGACAGCATGCTGTAACATTCCTGGTGGCATGGAGCACAGCAAAGATGGCTGGAAGTTGCTATCATCTCTTCAAGATTCCTCCAGGCAACTGGCCTGATGCCACCTGGGCTCACCTGCCCCATCATTCCGTCCCTCAGCCTGGCCCCGAGCTAGAGAGCTGGCACCCTCCCATACCTGGACCATCCCCCAGCCTTCCTCCCTCAGGCAAGTCTAGAATAAACTTGGCATCAACAGCTGGTGTGAGGAGAGGACCCAGCTACAATGGGGGCTCCATGTGTGGGGGGATGGCAGAGGAGGCCCCTGAAAGCAGGCAGGCCTCTGGAGTTCAAATCTGGGCTTAGGTTCTAGGCTGTTTTTGTCCTTACCCAAGGCACCTTGATAAAGGGAGCAAAACCTGTCTCCGGTGGGTGACCTCCAAACAATACAGAGAACCTCCAAATGACATAGGGAAAAAAAATGATCTCTGGACCTGACCTGCATGAGTTCGTGTTCTCTAAAACCGAAGAATGAATTTTAGGAACAAACGGAGGTTTTGAGCAGAACATATTTATTGAGTGAAAGAAAGCTGTCTGAGAGAGGGACAGGAGGGGGGACCCAGTGGGTAGTTCCCCTGGGAAGTTGTCTCTTCCAGGGACTTTTATAGAGGAAAACCATGTGGTGAGGTGGGTCTAAGGTAGTGGAGAAGACATGGGAACTCGCTTATTTGGGCATGAGGTGGGACAAAACTATGGTCAACCAATGAGATTACAAGCACCATTGCTCAGGTAAAATTGATTAAATCCAGGACCAAATGGGGAAGTGAGTCACTTAGCAGGTGGGCATGAGTAAGGGACAGGGTCTCTTCCTGTTGGGGGTTGGGCTAGTAACTCAATAGGGCTCTTTCAAGTTGATTGATACTATTTAGGATATCAATCCCTAATGCCCATCCCTAGGGAAGTATGTAGCTGTGCTTCCTCTTTTTGTCTTGGTCTTGAGGTGTGGCCCATATGGGAGTGTCTGTCTCTTCCCAGTTGCAAAGTTACCTTGTCTTCCACCTTGTCTCCTTGAGGGCCTGGCCCTGTCTAACTGCCTATAATATTTCTATCTAACTTGGCTGCCTGCAACAACCTGACCTCACTCGCCATCACTTTCATAAGTAGTACCAAGGGCTAGAACAACACACCTCCTGACCAACATAGGACTTACAGATACAGGAGAAATAAATGTAACTCCCACCCTGCTAGATATTCATGCAGAGTTCATGTTCCCCCAAATTGAAGAATTCTACCCATTTATTCATTTACTTGGTTTCATTTTTGAGACAGGGTCTTGCTATGCAGTCCAGGATGGCCTTGAGCTCACTTTGTAGCCCAGGCTGATTGATTCTTAAGCCTACTCTTGCCTGACTGCCTAAAATATTTCTACCTAACTCAGCTCTCTATAATACCAGTACTCTGGAGCCTAAGGCAGGAAGATTGCCTCAAGTTCAAGGCCAGCTTGGGATACATAGTGAGTTCAAGGCCAGCCTGAATTACAAAGCAAGACACTTTCTCAAAATAACACCAACCAAAAAGTAAAGAAGATTGAGCAGCTTTTGTAATCCCAGGTGTTATAACCTGTGCAATCAATTCCAATTTTGTAAGTCTGTATGTTTCTACTATAACTTTATTAACAAGGACTATTTGGTATAAAATGACAACTTAAACTCCATCTTCTAACGAGCTTTATAGCTTCCATTTTGTAAAACCTTGATTTGTTTTGTAAACCCCCTGCAAAATGAGTTAAACTGTCCTTCCTATGGGAACAAACAGATCCCTTGAAAATGGATGAAACTGTCATCAGA